GGCGCATTCTTTCTGTGTGGGCGCCAGGCCCCTTCCCACTATGGAATGATGATGATGTGTGTTGAGACTGCATTGCAACATTAATTGTTCGGATCATTGGTATCGAAGTCTTCCGCTACGCTATCTTGTACTTTGTGAGAGAGGTCGGTTCTTGTTCTGATCTGCACCTTTACGTTATGCAACATCACATGTAAAATGAACGTCCGTTGGAAGCCTAGAGGAAAGATGAAGCGAAGAAGGGGGGCCCAGAGTACGGACAGGGTCAGAAGTATAAACGTGGGATAGTCATCCATGGTGACTAGAAGCACAGGTAAGTAGCCTCCACCTCCTCGCCACTTAGACCTTACCCCTACCACTAATTACTAACTGTTGAGTGGGTCTGACTTTCACTGACTGCTGAATATATATATCTTCTTTTTTTTTTTCCGATGCTGACTGGTTGCTAGACTTGAAGCAAATCGAATATAGCACAAGACTTCGACCAGCCCAGCAGCAGCGACACCAAGATGTGGAAGGTACCACTTCAACAAGCAAACGCAGCAGGTCCGTAGTCACCAACCCAACTGGCCACTTCTTCTTCGGCCTACCTTCCCCCTTTCGTCAGACTTCTCCCCACTCACTTCTCTCTCTCTCCGGCCTTAATCGTTGCCAGCGATATCCAGTGGATGCAGCGAGCTTTTGCTCCGATACCAGTCTGCAACGAACCTCTCAGTTTACCACCAATGAGCACACACAAACACACACCATTCACAAATGAGATCACACGAAATTCACTCTAGAGGCCAGAGAGTCGAAGACCAGGTAAGCGCAACTTAAAAATTCCAACCAATTATCATACGAGCAATTAAGAGTTCCAGTCACAAGCGCTCAACAGCGCAGATCCAAGTAACCAGTATCATCACTCAGGTAAGTATCTCGCCCACTGCTCTTCTCTCTTCTCTCTTGGTCTTGTCTTTGTCTACTACCTCCGTGTGTCTTTTCTTCCTACTTGCATGCACTCACACTCTCCACTACCCAAGGACCAACTCTGAATACACCCACTGCTAACTCTGCCAACTCTCCTGAGGTCTACTACTAACTACTAAGCACTGGCGCAGCTATGGCTGCTTCCCTCGGCCAGCGCTGGGGCAGCTATGGCTGCTCCCTCTCTCTCCCTCTAACAGCGCAGCTCCCTGGCTCAGCGCTCCGCTCCTCACAATAGCGCACAAGTGCACCAGCACTTCCACACTTCATGCGAATGAGCATTCTGCCCGAATGCGGAGGCTGGCCAGTCCTTATATTGTCTTGAACTGAGCTTCAACTCGTCCCTGCCTCTGCTTCTTGGGGCTGGACTTGGTTCTAGTACCACATCCCCACGGCCTGTTTGCTTCAGAATGTCAGGGCCTGGTACTTTTCCCAAATTTTCATTGGTTTGCTGCTGCTTGGATCTGGGAGTAACGACTTTCCACTTATGGAACATGACTTTTGACCGCGGGTTGAGACTCTTGCCACTGGGACACGACTTTTGCTTGGGAAAGTGTCCTTTGCCTGCAGAGGATGACTTTCCGGCACGACTCTTCAAAATGAGACGTGCCTTTTGCCCCTGGGAGGTGACTGTTCACTGGGTGCCTGTTGGACTTGACTCCTAAGGTACCCAACTGTGACTTTTCTGAAACTGACCGACTTAGCCTCCCTGGCCTAAGACCTTGACCCTGAAATTCAAATTTGGGGTCCGAATCGTGGAAGGCCTTTCCGGTAGGTGTCGGTACCGAAAAGTCGTAGGTCGGTAGAAGTCCATCGGTACCCGACAGGAAAAGTCCAGTCCCAAGTCCAATTTTGCAGCATGTACCAGGAATGTCCGGAAGGTACCGGGCCGACAAAAATGTTTGCAGCAGACGGGCCGTGGCCGATCGGTACCGGTCTGAAGCAGGCCAAGCCAAGCCAAGTCCTATATTTAGCTGCTAGTGCAGCAGCTCATGACTTAATCAGTTTGGCGGAGACGCGGAAGCACTGCTGCTGCTTGTGCGCTAAGCCAACTTGGGCACTTCGTGCCTGAGGAAGAAGAGGGCGGTCGTAGCTAGGTAAGAGGTAGCCGAAGGAGGAGAGTGGCCATAGCCGCCAAGGTGGAAGCTTACCTAAGTGGGTGTATCCAGGGTGATGATCTAGGACCAGAGAGAGAGAGAGAGGTAGAATGAGGCAGAGCGAGCCAAGTCAGAGAGAGAAGCGAGACTAGATGAGAGAGTGAGAGAGAGAGAGAAGCCATAGCCGCCGTCCAGTCGAGATCCGTTGTGTGTGTGTGTTCGGCACAGCCGTTGGAGACGACACTTCTTGTATCCTACCCCTTAAGCAGCATTGGCCGCGGGATGGAGGTAGATGGTTCGCTGCGCGCCAAAATCGGGCGCCAAAGTAAACGGAGACGGTAGGATGGAAGGCGCTCGCAGTTGAGATGGATGCAATGGCCACTCTCCACCGAATTGTTCACAGCACGCCAAAGAACGTGGGGCCGCCATGTAGCATGGAGAGGGAGGAGGGTCGTTGATAACGAGGAATATCTCACCGCCGGTGCCGTAGGATAGGAGGGACACATGATGGCAAAGCAGGCACGGTGTCTCTCTCGATTTGCTCTTTTGTTTTCTGTTTTTCTTTTTTTGGGGGCTTCTCAATTGGTTTTTTCTCTTTTGATGGGAGAGTTCATCTTTGGGCTTTGCTATGTCGTCGTCCGTGTTGTTCTTTTGTTTTATTTTTTTCTTTTTTTATGGCTTCTCAAAAAAACAAAATTCCTCTTTTGATGGCCGAGTTCGTCTTTGGCCTTCGTTATGTCGTCGTCCGTGATGTCGTTTTTGGCAAAAGAGAGGGCGCCGGCTTGGAGAACATGGTGGCTTGGAGATCATGGTGGCATGGGGCACTACGGAGTGAATCTTCCGTTAGAACATGGAAAGGTGCACCGCCATCATGGGTTTTGTCGTTTGTGCATGTCAAAAGTAGTGGAGTGAGGCCCATGCTGTGTGGGTGCAGTTCTCTCTCTCTCTCTCTCTCTCTGGGACAGGGTGGGCGTGCAGTTCGAGAAACGAGCACCAAGTACCTTGGTCCACTACTCGCCACATGTGCAAAACGAGACTGAATCTTCCGCCAGAACATGAAACAATACACCGCCATGATTTTTGTCTTTTGTGCATTTCAATAGTGGAGCGAGTCGCCAAAATGCTGAAAAAAAAATCTTGTAAAAAAGACAAAACTTGGGAAAAAACGCGTTGTGTGCATGTATGCATCGGGGGGAGAGAGAGAGAGAGAGAGAGAGAGAGAGAGAGAGAGAGAGAGAGAGAGACAGTGTGGCGGACCCACCAGGTGTGGTGCTCCACCAGGGATAGAGATGGAGATGGAGGATGAAGGGGGAGCGAGATGGCACAATGCAGCTCCCACGCTAGACTCCAACGCACGTACTCCAAAGTGTGCGAATGTAGAATGATCCGGAAAACACACAACAGCTGGGGTATACCCCAACAGACTGACGAGACTGGACTGGACTGGCTGGTACCAACAGAGGTACCAACCTAGCCTGGACTACCCCGAATACAACACAGGCCTGTGAGAACAGGCCAAGGGGCTGGTCTCACAGGCCAACCAGAGGTCCGCAACACGATCCGCGGCCTGTGATGGATCGCCTAGATACAAGCACGCTTCCGCCAAGAAGCGGAACTCTACCAAAGAAAAAGAAACCTGAGTAGTCTAGGATGCGGAGCAAGCTCCATGCTGAGTCCATGCAATGCAACCTAGGATAGAAAATGTCACAAAAACAGCAATGTCACAACTAACAGCCTAAGTGAAAGTTGAAGCAACTAACTAGCATACATGTCCTAGGAAAGCAGAAAGTAATGACAACTAAACCCTCGAAAGTTGGAGGCGGTAGCTTCAGTCTAGAAACAGCTGACTAGTGTATAAGTCCTAAGAAGAGCAAAACCAAAAACAATCAAATCCTAGAAATGTTAGAGGCAATAGCCTCAGTCTGAGAGCAACAAAGCAACGACAAGACAACCATATGTCACAGGAGGAGTGTGTCGCAACCAAAGGGTGGGATGGTCTCTGAGGGTGGCGAATGCAGCCTAGAGGTCGATAAACTCCTAAGGGCATCCACACATAAATAACAGGGAGACACATGTCATCAGGCTCAATGAGGGTAGGGAACTGGGAGCGAACAAAACCAATGACCCTAACAGATAGACCATCAGGGCGGGTAATGCTCGTCTAAAGGGGTGACCGCTAGGGAGGGTCAACCATGCAAGGGGATAAGGGAGCCTGGTATACTGGGCGCACCTAGATGAAGCATGCAAGGCTGCCTAACTAGGGCGTGAGGGTCGGCCGAGGGTAGAAAAAGTGATGGGTAAGGGAATCATGCAAATGACTCCTAAGGTGGGGGAAGTCGGAGCTGGATCCATAAGCCGGGAAGCCAGGGCAACGCTACGGTCCTGATGCCTATGCATATACCAAGGGAAAGCCCAACTCAGAGGAACCCGACGAAGGGAGACTATCATGCGACACAACCAGATTACTGTACACGGTAAAGTGGTAAGAGAGTGATGACGTCTGAAGTAGGCAAAGATGATCGTGACGAAGTCCATGAAGCTGCTGATGACATCCATGATGAGAAGTCTGGAATGCCGTCGAGGAAGAGCCGCAACGTCGACGAGCTGAAGTGGCAAAACTGGAGTGGATAGAGTACTGAGAAGGTCAAGACGTGGGAAGAGAAGTCAGAGTCAATCGTCGTAGCGAGCAGGACGACGACGAGTGCGCTGTGGACACTCAGAAGCATCTGGCTGCTGTTGAAGGTCTGCCTCAGATGGAGCTGGCTCGACTTCAGCGGTCCCCTCAGCAGAGGGAGGAGGAGGAGGGTCAGTGGCCTGAGGAGGAGCAGTCAACCTAGCACGACGAGCACGGTAATAGGCACGCACCAACATGCGAGCGTGCTGCAAGTGTTCGAGGGGCTCTCAGGTAGCCTCCTCATCAAGGTAACCCTTCCAACGTACGAGATACTCGACATGGGGAGGGTTGTCGCCGATAACTCGACGACCAATGATGTCTGAAACGAGGAACTCATCGTGGTCGTGATAGGTGGAGGGCGCTCGTATGGTCGTCCAGTGAAACGCTCAGACGGTCTCCGGTAGGGACGCAGTAATGAGACGTGGTAGACATTGTGCGCACGAGCCTGGCGTAGGTAGTCGGACAACTTCACACGGAAGCTGATCGGGCTACAAGTCGTATCAGAACCGACGGCCTGGAGAATGCGGCATGGGCCAAAGAAGCGACACCGAAACTTGCGAAGCGTCTCCGCTTCGAGCTGTAAGTGGCGTGCGTCGATAAGCATATCATCATCGACTTTGAATGGATGATCCATCCTCGATCGGTTCGCACGTGCTGCCATGCGAGTCTGGGAAGCGGCTATATGCTCATGTGCAGTCTTCATGATCAACGTCATGTGTGCAACCCAATCATCCAACGCGGGACAACTCGTGTCGGGGTGCATCTGTGACGGTCGAAGGAAGTCTGCGGGAACACGAGGGTGATAGCCGAGGTCGCAATGGTAAGGCGACATCCCCGTGGCTGGCGAGACGGCATGGTTGTAGGCTATCTTCGCGTGGGCAAGATGGAGATCCCACTGCTGGTCGTCACGAACGATCTTTCGGAAAATATCTATGAGAGTCCTGTTCGTGACCTCGGTCTGACCATCAGTCTGAGAATGGTAGGACGAGGAGAAGCGGAGCTGGGTGTCGTATACCTCGTGGAGCAGTCGCCAAAATCGGCTGGTAAAGCGCAGGTCACGGTCAGATATGATGCTTAGAGGTAAGTCGTGGTCACTCACGACTCGGTCAAACACGGTGTCGGCGACCTCACGTGCACTGATGGCATAGCGGCACGGAACAAAGCGTGCATGCTTCGTGAAGCGGTCGACGATGACCAGGATAGCATCATGACCGCGGGGGGTCGGAGGTAGAAGAGGACCAATAAAGTCCATCGAGATGGACTGCCAACGGCCCTCAGGAATAGGAAGAGGCTGGAGCAAACCACAAGGCAGGTGGTTTGCACTGTTCACCTCCTGATTGGTGGGACACTCTGCGACGTAGTCCTTTACAAAGTCCTTGCACTTCAGCCAGACGTACAGGCGGCTCACACGAGCCAACATCTTGTGGAAGCCCATATGATCGGCGGCTGCCTGGTCATGGAACTCTGCTACTGCCCGGACACGTAGCTGTCCAGTGGAGGGAACGCAAATACGCGGCTCTCTGCTGTCCTGTGAACCGTGCCAGTACACAAGACCGTTGTCCCCGAGAGAGTAGTTCAGGACGGTCTTGCCACTCCGAAGGGTCGCATGGATGTCGCGATAGTCGGGGCAGTGGCGGTACTGAGTGCGAAACTCATTGATCACCGAGTGGTGGACGGTGGTGACCGAAATAGCAGCGAGTTGGATCTGCTCCAGATCATGGTCAGGGCGCCGGGATAAGGCATCTGCGACCCGATTAAATGGTCAGGGCGCCGAGATAAGGCATCTGCGACCCGATTAATCTCAGCCTTAATGTGCTCAGTGGTGAAACTAATCTCGGATAGGTCGCGCCACCAGCGGGCCTGTCGAGAAGTGAGCTTCGACTTTGTCAGAAAAGCCTGGACAACAGAGTTGTCCGTGCGCACCGTGAACGGTGCCCCGTGCAGGTAGTGACGCCAACGCCGAGCAACATAAACTACTGCGAGAACCTCACGTTCATCAGCGGTGTAGTTTATCTCGGCGGGCAGGAGCTGGCGGGAGTAGAACGCTATCGGACAATCACCTGAGCGAGACTCGACAGTGTCGTCCTCGGCGATGGTAGGAAAATAGTCAACAGAAGGCTCGTCAGTAGCTGGACGAGTAAGCGTCAGGCGGGAAGAAGTGGTAGGGATAGGTGATGGGAAGCGAGGGATACGAGGATGAGAGGAATCAGGACAGGAGAGGAAAATCTGAGAAAGGACTTCTCCTACAGCGAAGTCTAACGCATCGGTGACAAGGATAAAAGGGCGATCGAAATCGAGTAGGTGAAGAACCGGTGCGCATGTCACCGCCTTCTTGAGGGCGCAAAAGGCGTCCTCGTGGAGGAGTGTCCAAGCCCATGGCCGGTTCTTCCGGAGGAGGGTGGAGGTAAGGATGTAGGAATACCTAGCGCATCCCTGGATGAAATTACTATAGTAACTAGTGAGGCCCAGGAAGCTGCGAAGCTGCTTGGCGGATTAAGGACGGGCCACTCCACAATAGCAATGATCTTCACATCGTCCATGTGGAGACCTGGTCAGACACGTAGTGTCCTAAGAAATCCACTTTGTGCTGGACAAAGCGACATTTGCTCAGTTTGGCGTATAAGCCATGTCTGCGCAAGCGGTCAAGGACGTCGCGGAGGTGTCTGAGATGCTCCTCAAGAGTACGGCTGTAGACCAGGATATCGTCGAGGTAGACGAGATCGTACTGCTCCAGGATGTCCCTGAAGATGTCGTTCATCGCCCTCTGGAAGGTAGCGGGTGCGTTGGTGAGGCCGAATGGCATCACCGTAAACTCATAGTGGCCGAAGCGCGATCGGAACGTCGTCTTCGGCTGGTCCGCTGCAGCGACGTGGATCTGATGGTAACCGCTACGAAGATCAATCTTCGTAAATAAGCGGTTGCCTGCTAGGCGGTCGAATAGCTCGTCGAAACGAGGCATGGGGTTGAGACCGCGATAGTCGAGGCAGAGACGGAGAGTTCCATCCACGTTGTGCTTAACCGTGCAGCGGTTGAGATCGAGATAGTCGATGCAGAGACGGAGAGTTCCATCCGCTTTGCGAGCAAAGAGGACGGGTGCACCCCACGGGGAGTTGTTGGGTTTAATGAAACCCAGTCTCAGGAACTCCTTAAGCTGACGCTTGAGTTCGGTGGCCTCGGGGATCGAGAGTCTGTAGGGTGCCTGGCGGTGAACATGATAGTCAGGCATAAGCTAGATGGAGTGCTCGACGTCGCGCATCAGTGGGATACCGGCATTCGAGAACGACGATGGGAAAACGTTGTGGTACTCTCGAATCAGGTCAAGAACTGCGAGCTCCAGGTCGGTCGTATAGCGTGCGAGTTCCTCAGTGTCAACGTCGACGCGCGACGACGGGGTGGACTCGACGCACGGCGGAGGGTGGGAAGTAGAGATGGGAGTCATGGAGATAGGAGGATCTGGCTCCAAAGAGATGAGCTCGGCGTCGGGACAGGGTGGATCATAGTGTAAGAGATCCGTCACGTTCACCATAAAGAAGGTGACGTCGTCCTGTCGGATGAAGTGAGCGAACTGTCGAGGCGAGGTGACAGTGATCGTAGGAGATGCTGTGGGCACGGAAGGCTCCGGAGGAGGAGGATCGGGTCGTGGTGTCGCAGTGGTACCTATGAAAGGTACACGATACGTCTGTCCACACTTCGTTTTAAGAACGAGAGTGTTGGTCGCCCAATCGGCCTCGGTGCTGCAAAACTGACGAGACCACGGAATACCGAGAATGAAATCGTACCCTGTCTCCATCACATCGAAATGTGCAGAGAAGCGGTGGCGACGAGACGTCGAGGGACGATCAGTCGGCTCGAGCGTGAGGAAGAAAGGGAGGTCGGTGACCGTATGATCGAAGAAGCGTTGGGTCTTGCCATCCCCTAGGGTAACAAAGATGGGAGTCAGAGACCCTGTCGTGGGTAACCGGGCTTCTTTCACCACACGTGGGTGAATGAAGTCGCCCTGAGAACCGGAATCCCACAGCGCTTAGTACACCCTCGTGGAGGTCCCCAATCGTACTGGAATGATCGGGAGGGTGTGATCAGGGTCAGAGAGGATGGCGAGAAGGGGACACAGTGCAGCGATATGGAGGGTGAGTCGCTCCTGACGAGCCTGGAGTATGCTCAAGTCCAGAAGAGAGGACGCAGCGTCCTCGCGAGTCGCAAGCTGCTTGCTGCAACGGGCTGAGCGAATGGCTCGACGCGTCAGTAATCGCGGAGGGGTAGGAGGGGAGACGGTGGTCTGCGGAGGCGCAGACGGTATTGCGACAGAGGGCCGAGTACACTCTGTCGGGTCTTGCGATACCTCAACTCCAATAGCGAGAGGGGCAAACCACGACGGAGATGTCCGGAAGCCAACTACTGAGGAGGGCGCAGGTGTACACTGCACCGTGGCTCAGAGGCGATGTGGGGATGCGAGGCGCCGGAGGGGGACTGAGCACGACGCTAGCGGGAAAGGTCAGCGTAGTGGCGGTCGAGGGCACCGGTGTAAGGGCACCGCGAGGAGGTACGACCTTCCTGGCGGCATCGCAATTACCCACGCCGGCCCAAAATGGACGCGCGCTCCTCGGCGAAAAGGACACCGCGAGGAGGGACAAAGCCCTGAGGGAGGTCTCGCTGAGGGACCTCGGGGGGCGACGCGCCAGCGTGACCAGAGCGGCTGCGTACCCGGGAGAGGGTGGAGAGGATGAGCTGGAGGCGCTCGGCCATAGGGAGAGTAGAGTCCTCTTGGTGGTAGTGGACGACCTCGCTGAGGTCGAGGTCGTCGCTATGGTCACCCTTAGGCGACAGCGGGGTAACAGCGTCCTGCTCACCATACTCAAGCGCGCTGAAGTGGCGCGAGAAGTGGCGGCCCTGCTACGTGGAACGGCGGGGGCGGCCACAGAAAGGGGAGCAGCGCTGGGGAGTGTCGTGAGAGGAGGAGGGGGCGTAGCCAATACGCTGAGGCTAGGAGGAGGAAGCCGGGTGAAGACGGTGTCGGTGTGAATACCCTTACAAGGGTATCCGCCCTGGGTTCTACAAACGACAGAAAATAGGTTCCGTTTAAAGTTTAAATATTTCGCGCGAGGCGCGACAACGTTTGTGGTTTACGTTGAGCAAATGGTTGATTAAAGTTGAGAGTGTGTGGGCGCGTAGACTTGAGGCGCGCGTGATTTCTTTTTATCTTTGATGACTGAAGAGCCCGCGTGGGTGCTGGCCAAATTTTAATTTTTGATTAAACTAGGATTAAATAGATTTTCGTCGTTTGATTGATGCACTTACCGGTGACTGATGCGTCCATGCGGAGGACGACATCGACAACAACGTGAATTTTCAGAATGTTTCGGTAGACCTGCGCGTCGCGCAGTATTAGTTTATTTAGGTATCCGACAAAGCTAGACCCAACCTTGGACCTAGCACTAGCAGTTACGGCATCGGACTTTCGTCAAAGAGATTCAGGGATCGAGATCGAGCAGCGACAACGCGAGGAGACCAGAATAGCGCGTAGGACACCGAAGGGTTGAGGGCCCGGCGGGGCTACCTCCCTTGGTTTTACCGTCGGCGGCGTCAAAACGTGCTAGTGGTTCCTTTTCCTCGTCATCATATTTTGACGATTAAAAGCTTCTAAAACATTATTATTATTATTTGTCATCGTTATTATTTAACTTTATGTTTTGGCTTTTTGTAAGTCGGACGTGACTCCGGCCACGGGTGACCGTCACGGCAGTCGAGGACCTTGAGCGCACATCCTTTTTGGTTGACCTGCGGGTTCAGGCATGCTCGAAGTGCCGACGAAACTGACTCGACCTTGTCCGTCTTGAAACATGGACCGAGGAGTTCGACGTGCAGGCAAGCCGGTGGATGGTTAGCCCACGAGAAGGAGAAAATCCGGGTGGCGCGGACCCTTTGCGGATGTGTCGGCCGCCCGCCATGATTTGTCGTGAGAAGTTTGAGCGTGAGCATGCCCAGCGGGACCGCAAGAAGGTGGGCCATACCCGGGCGCAAGGGCGAGTGGCGACCCGGGGGCACAGTTTGGGGAAGTTTGCTGAAGCGGCGGCCCCGCAAGGCCCTACTCCCCTCCGGGTTTTAAAGTTCTCATTTGAATATTTGGTACCACCGCGGAGAGGAGCGCCGAGCCTAGCCCACCAAGGCCCACGGTAGGCTATGCAGTAGGGCGCGCAGCAACCAGCAGTCTGACTAGCCAGCCGTCTGAATGAGAGCTGGCCGCATGGGACCCAAAAGATCAAGAACCGGCCTCAGGCGCAGTGGGCACGGTAGACCCAGTAAGCAAGTGAGCCGGGGGTATCACGGCAGAGGTGGCTGCGGCACTGCAATGCAGCTCACCTATAGTGGCGGAGGGTTGCTGCATCGAAGTAGCTAAGTCCTCCGCGGTCTTTCAGGATAGTTGGGCAGCGCTACGCAGCAGCGGACGAGCAGGCCGGGGTAGATAGAAATGCCGCTCCGCTGAGGCGCTCGCTGGCCGATGGTACGAGCATCAAGGCCGAAGACGACGAGGCCAGGGAGCGATTGGGAGGAATGAACACTATTGCGAATTCGCACCGGAAACATCCAACGAAGGGAGAAGTTGGAGATGGCGAGGAGGCTGGTGAGGCGCAGTGGGAGAAGGGCAGCTCACACGACTCTGAACGAGACCGACAGGGTGGCGAAAACTGCTGAATGGACGTGGACGGGGAACCGCGCCGGGTGCATGCACGGAAGGGTAGAGCCCAGCGAGGGGGAAAGGGAGCTATGGTGGAGCTAAAATCGTAGTTCTCGCCCGATCCTCGAAGGAATCGGGCGATCCAAGTGTCGGAATAGGGGTTTTGGGTGGAGGCGAATACGAAGACGAAGTTCGTTTTAGAGGAGAGTTAGTAGGTTGAGAGATTGGGAGAGAAAAGACCGCGCGGAGCTATGGAAAAAACGAAAACAGAGAGGAGGGAAAAGGTTTTTCTCACTCGCTGATGGGCAGATTTGGGCGATCAGGGAGTCAAATCGAGGGGTTTTGGGGATGGCGACCCCGATTATGCAGTCAGAATTAGTAGAGAGGTAGTGGAATGAGAGTTAGACGGGGAGAGTGCTGCGTTGAGCTATGGCGGAGTGAAGGAGGAGAGAGGTGAGGAAATATGGATCCCGCCCGTTTCTTAGCGAAAACGGGCGAGGGAGAACTCAGGTAGGGGCGTGGTAGTAGGGCGAATCGACTGATGGTGTTAGTTTTAGAAGGAAGGAAGTGATTTGGGAACTGAAGGAGAAGGGTGCTGCGTGGATATGGCGACGGGAGAAAAGACATGAAGGAGGGAGGTATGACTCCTGCCCGTTTCTTGACGAAAAAGGGCAAGGGAGGGGAGTGAAACCGGTCGAGCGGAAGACTCACTCTTACTTAGCAGGCAGGAAGGTGGCAGGGCGCTAGCGGCTACGAGGAGAAGGTGTATGGGGGTATCACATGAGTTAGTAGGAAAGGCGTTAGGAAGGAAATGAAGTGCACTGGGGTGTGAAGCCAGCCGCAGGGCTGGAGACTTACCTATCGATTAGCGCGTTGGGGTGCGCCCGACTGCGATCTAGTCGTTGATACAATTGGTCGTTCAATCGGTGGTAATAGCAAGTAGCCGCCAAGAGTTGGAAAGCTTGCACCGGGGGCTAACATAGCCCACCCATACCACGACAGATTCTGTCGAACCGAGTTACGAAGTAGAGGTTTTGAGGACGGGTAAATCCGAGGCTGAAGTCGGATTCATGACTCGGCGGATGGACTTGACGGGCAGATGTACTCGACGGGATGGAGGTGCGAGGGCTGTGTACTAAGGAGGAGGTAAGTATGAAAATGTATCTTTCCGTGTTCTAACGGGAGATTCATTTTCAGGTTGATAGCTGCAGTGTTGTTGTACCGGTCACAGTGATAGTCGCCTCGCTGGCCACACGAGTTGTCATCCGCGCGGCCGGTCTGCACGGTCGGGCTCTTCATCGCCGTCGTCACGATTGTGCCCTGAAGGAACGAGTGTTGTGGGAACTGGGCAACGGGCAAATCAGGCGCAACAGAAACTGAGAGAGGAGAGGCTTACCTGCTAGATGATGAGTTGCTCATCCTATCGATGGAACTAGCGTGGGGCGAGCCACGAAGTTGGAGACTTGTCACCAGGATCGTGTTGACGTCCGTTGAGGTCTGCGTACGCCAGGCTCACTGGCATGGTCTTGTACCTGCGCTATCTGGTTCAACGGGATACTAGAAAGGGAGAATACGTACCTGGTCGACTTGCGGGTACTCACTGTTTGCGAAGCAACTGGGTATTGAGCTGCCGCCCTACTACTACGAGCATTTGTATTCATCACAGCCGCCCCGTGTTAGCTGGCTGGTACGGCTAGCAGGTTTGTCTTTGGACATACTGTCTAGCCTCTGGCTTGTCAAAGTACTGCCACGGGCTGTTGCGTGTGTTGTTGAACGTCGTGACGTACATACTGCTGTGCGCGCTGTGCACTGCGGCACTTTCCCCTGTTAATCGAACAGGACACAAGGGCGGACTTCATTTGAGCATAGTATCTCTAGGCTATACAGCAGCGGGTTGATCAAAAGAAACGGCGTTACGACTCGGCAGGCGAGGTCCTTACTGCGGACAGGAGATTCGTCGGGGAGCCAATAGTTGGCAGTTTAGCTTCAGTTGACTAACTGCGGACAGGAGATTCGTCGGGGAGCCAATAGTTGGCAGTTTAGCTTCAGTTGACTAAGTAGGCTGCAGGTTGCTGTGTATTGCTATGTGTTGCCGGCATTCTGATAAAGTCTAACGGAGGTGTGCACTATTTGAGCGGCGGCGGTACTGTCTGACATTCAGGTAGTGGGACTTGGTGGTATGATCAAGCTTGTGAAGGGGGGAGGTATCGCTGCGAATTGGAGCTTGCCAGGGTGCCGGTTGTCAGCAGTTTGACTTTAAGTCTGACCAAATTGTCGTGCGTTCAGGCCATCATTGCGGGACCCTCAGGCGCTGGATAAAAGAAATGAATAAGTTTTAAGCAAGTTTAAACATTTAGACAATCTTTCAAAAATTTCACGAAATTTCATCGGAAGATTTTAGCCTCATCACGAGGTCACTCATTTAGTAGAAGATGAATGGTAGCAGGAAGATACACAATTTGCTTGGAAAGAGATGCAGTTTGCAAAAAGTGAAAGTTCCGGGAAGTTGCAGTTCGAATATGGCCTTGCTCAGGCCCGATCAGCCTTGATTGGCGCGGTGCCTGGCTGGCACTTACTTCCTATAGGTTAGGTAGGTCGTTTAGATTAGGTTAGGACTAACCCTAATTAGCGCTAATTAGGGTTACTCGTAAATAACGATTTCCTAATTGCGCGATATGGAGAAATGTCGCAAACCTCAAATTATAATTTTAACGCCCTAATTAACCATGAAAGTACGAGAAAAGAAAAGAAAAAAAGAAAAAAATTGCAACTTGCGATTTAATGATAACAGAGTGCAGGTATTGATAATCAATCAATCAATCAATCAATCAATCAATCAATCAATTAATGGTGAGTCATCCAATGCTGGTCTGCTCCGATACCAAACTGTTGCATACTCGTGAAACACAGTCATAAGTATGGCGCAGATTCCCAGAACCGACCAGATAATACAGAGTTTATACAAATGCAAGCGGAAGACTTGAGATACCTT